ATGTCATTATTGACAGAAAATGAACACGTTGAGTAGACAGTTTTTTTTTAATTAATCATATTTTTTGCGAAGAAATGATGATAAAACAGTTTCTGTTGAACTTATGACACAAAAACATTTTAAATTTATGATGTCAGTCTAATAAGTATTTAGTCAACATGTTTAATTTATGTCAATGATGACAGGTATTGATAATTTTGATTCTAAATATCTCGAGAACCATTACTCGTAGAGATTTTTCCCAAGAGACCTTCTTTACGTAAAAAATGTCGTAAATGTATATTTTTTACTCGGTATTTTTATACAGGTACGGACTAAAAGTTATTACTCTTCAAACCAGTTAAAAAATATGCAGGTGGCACCCTCTACAAGTAGAAATTATATTGACATCAAAATCAAATTTCTCATGTCAAAAAAATCCTAGACATCAATTTTCATTTGGAAAAAATCGAAATAAAAATGAAACTTCTACACCCTGTATCTCCGAAACTAAGCATTTTCGGACATACATTTATATGAACTTTTTACTTATTTTTATCTGCAGAATATGCTGCCGAAGTTATCAGAATACAGTTCAGACCACCCTGTATAATAATAATTACTATAAATGTTGATAGGTAATTGATTAGATAACAATTCATAACAAACTTATTGAATAGATACTTTTACCGACACTTCTATATTAACTAAAATAAGACCCTCCCCCTTCTTTTTCTCTTGTAATGTATCTATCAAAATAACATCAACATGTAAATAAATAAGTAAACCTTTCAATCAACCAATCAACAACAGTAAATGAAATTATACACAAAAATTTACGATCAGTGGTGGTCGATAGAGCAGCTAACTGAAAATTTGACGTGAGACATACAGTTTTAAAATTAAGATATCCAAAGTAGTCAAAATTAAAATATCCATAAAAAAGTGAAACCAAAGCATCTAAAACTCATTCATGCAATTTGGTATTCTCTGTATAGTGAGTTACCAATAACGGCTAGAATTAATAAGTAACTAGTTAGTAGAGTAATAATAATTTGGGATTTTTATTTTTTCCTCAAAGTAAAATTCCCAATTTGGAGTGAGATCTAGAAGCACCCTGTGCATACAATGTAAATATAATAAAAATATTGTAACACTATATTTCTTCTTCTATACCTTTAATAACCTTTAATAATTTAATTAGGTTTCATTATCCATATTTATTATCATAAATATACCTAAGATTGTTATCAAAATTAAAATAATTGAGTCAAATTTCTAAAATTATTAACAACTAAGGAGTAATAGTATATAAAAAATATTATCAAGATTATTGTTGCTAATCAACCATTTTTTAGGCTTTAATATTTAAACTAATAGAATTCAAGAAGTATGTTATGCCGCACATTTGGAAGAAATTGATTAGTCCCCCAAACATTGACAGATGTGAAATAGTATAATAATAATTATAATTATAATTAAATAAAAAAAATTATAAATCAAAATAAAAGTTCTTTACAAAAATACAAATATAAACTACTCAGTTCAAAATATGTGTAGGTTTGATTAGTCACTTTCTTTAGAGGTATTTTATTTCTATACTTTTTTTCTGAACAATATACGAACACACCTGTATTAAGCCTATTATTATCGATAAAATTGTTGGCTCAGACTATCTAAATGAATCATTAAGAAATACTTTATGACTAAAACATCAAATCTTTCGCCAACAAGTTCCAATGGAACTTAAATAAAAAACAACACACCTATAAATATTGTATTGCACGTAAGTTTTATGATACTTTGATTCCAAAAACTAATAATACAAAAGGTATAATATCATTTTTCTTCTTAGTTCTTGTAAATAATCATTTAAGTCAATCACAGATCACAGATACAAGCTTTAATAAAAATGGTTTAAATAAAGAATTTCCGGTAATCAATATATTTAATTTAAGACGTAAGAAACAAGGTATCTTAGTAATTTTATATCCCAAGCTCCATATTTATTAGATAAGAGATTTTATCAGATTTATTAGATTACAACGTACGTGAACATCTTCTTTAATTAAAGCTCAACATGTTATACAAGATGCATGCAGACTACTAAATGTAGCCCGTATTCTCTTTTCGTATGTTGTTTGCTCAAACTTTCGATTAGTATGTCAGTGGAACGTCAAGGTTTACTTCGTAATTCGGTATCCGGAATGTTCAATATTTTCGTGTTATTGTTTTTATAAAATACAATTAACTAGCATTCCAATGTTTGTCTTATTTTCTGCCTAAGAAAACAATTAATCTTTTATTACAAAGCCTCTTAACCTATTAACAAATATTCTCATATTGTTATAATGTTATAAAAATACACAGATGTGATTTATATTTTTAGTTTCTAAAATCACAATTTTATACCCTTTATTTTTTTCTAGTTTTCTAAAATCACCATAGTTTATAAAATACTTTGTATATTATGTAAATAATAAGATATAATTTAACAAGTAACAAGAAAACGAGGTAAATAATACTACTAAACGTAAGATCAAAGAAAAAGCAACAAAGATGTAAATAATATTTATCTTAGAATCTTAGAAGAATAATCCAAAGTGTGCTAAGTATAGATTGTTAATTTACCTTTTCAAAAGGCAATTTTCATGTATTTTAAAGTTTTATATATTGTATTCTAGCCAACCGATTTTGATGATTTCTTAAGCAATTTGTAGCTAAATTATTTGACTTTTTAGAATCTCTATCTAGATTAAAAACGAAAGTTGTCATCTTTAATTTATACGAAGGAAAACAACATGTTGATATTTTGGTGAAAGTTTGGGACACCCAGTTGAAAATCATTTTACCATCTAGGTGTATATTTTCCCAATAGTTTTTTTTAATTGATCTCAATAGCCCTATTTTTTTGGACATATTGACTTTTGAAGAAGGCGCTAATATTTTTTCGTATTTTTACATTAAAACCATGCGTTTGATTTTGGTCCTATAGTCAACAGATCTATAAAATAGTGTTTATGATTTATGTAATCTCACTGTCTTTGAAAAACCATATTATTATTGTTTATTGGGCAGTTACTCTAGCATATATGGTTTTAAGTCATGATCTCTACCATTATCAATTAAAGCAACAATAGCCGACACTTCCTTCATCACCTTAACACACAGAGCCCGAGCATAAAATTTACCATGGAAACCGAAGAAAACAACCAACTGGCCTTCCTCGATGTGCTTGTCAAGAGAAATGGAGACTATTTGGATCACACTGTGTATCTAAAACCCACTCAAACAGACCGGTACTTGCACAAACTGTCAAATAATCATCCAAACCAAAAACACGGGATTATCGGAACATTAACAAATAGAGCAAGACGCATTTGTGCTAAGGATCATATACAAGAGGAACTAAGTCACTTAAATAAAGCCTTTCTTGCTAATGGGTATAATGAGAAAGAAATAAAGGCGGCGCTAGCACCTAAGCAGAGGAGACTTGACGTCAATGGACAGAATAACACCATTAATAAGGCCTTCCTTCCATATATTTCCCAGGTCACCGATAGGATTTGAAAAGTTCTCAGGAAGCACAACATCAAAACAACATACAAACCTACCCAGAAAATAAAGGACTGCTTGAGACCAGCCAAAGACAAAAGGGAATCATTATCCTCTGCAGGGATCTACCGTATACCTTGTTCCTGCGGTAGCGTATATATTGGAACTACCAAACGCTCAGAAGGAACAAGACTTACGAAACACAAGAGAAGCTGCAGGTTAAGGCAAACGGACAAGTCGGCTCTAAGAGATGCTGATCACAAAATCCAGTTCGAAGACACGCAAGTCATTGCCACAACATCTGGATATCATCCTCGTCTGGCCAGGGAAGCTGTTGAAATTCACACACATCCAAATAATTTCAACAGGAAGGAAAAAACTTTCTACCTAAACAGAATTTGGCATCCAGCTATATCTAGGCTTCATAAAATGGTAGCAGCACAGAGAAGTAGACCAGTTCCGGAAGAACCACCACCGGAACAAGCCACGCCCCCTCGGCCGATACATACGCCCCCTCGGCCGCTACGCCGACGCGGAAGCATCAGTCTAGTGTGAGCAGTCGGAGCAAACACACCTCTGAGGATGTTATCCACTCATGCTAGCAAAACGTTAGGAAGGAATTCTAACCGACCGAAAACCCAAATTTCTTCAAGCGATGGCGGCGAAAGCCTAAATTACTACATCTCCAAGAAAAATAAAGCTATTGGGATGAATCAAAGAACAAACTATCGAGAAAAGACGTACCTAGATAATAAAATAATTTTTAAATTCCTTGCTTTGTTAACAAATTCGACAGGGTGTTTCAAACTTTCTCCAAAATATCAACATTTTGTTTTGCCTCGTATAATTAACAAATGGAAACTTACATTTTTAATTTAGAAAGAGATACTAAAAGTCAAATAATTTAGCTACAAATCGCTTAAAAAATCATCAAAATCGGCCCACTAGGACAAAATATATTAAACTTTAAATTACATGAAAATTTTAAAGTGCCCGTTTTTCATGGCTGTGAGTGTATTATGACCAAAAATTAATATAATCTACCCTATTCACTATAAACCAATGGAATTACTTGTTTCGCATATAATCTACCTACTTAGACACAAATAGAAACACACCTACACACTACTACTTACGCTCAAATTGTTAATTTTATTTTCGAGTTCGCTAAATTGGTAGTCCAGCGATCTGTAGTAAAGCGAAGGTGAAGAACTGAGGTAGTAGTTTCTGAAGAAACTACCCAAGTACGATCGGTAGTAGGGCCAGTAGCTGGAGTAGTAGCTGTAGGGCCAGTAACTATAGTAGCTACTAGGGTAGTAGGAGCTGTAGTACGTGGGCCAGTACGAGCTGTAATAGCTGGGCCAGTAAGAGGTGTACGTTCTGGGCCAGTCGTAGTACCACCTGTAGGCTTTCGGGTAGTAATAGCTGCTTGGGAGGCTAAGGGTGGTATAGTAGCTTGAAGTTATGGGGTAGCTGGAGTAATATATTCGCTAGAAATTGTGAATTAATCTCATTTTTTTTATCGTGGTACTTTTTATTTCAGTATTTATTCATTTTGTAATACCTGTTATATTTGGTTAGTCTTATTCTTAATATTACTTTTAATTACATTATATTGACTAATGATGCTTTTAAAATGTAAGATTGTAATTTTAAAGGTTTTAAAGGTTTCTAAATATGGTTGCTAATTGGTTAATTCAGTATTTGTATAATTTCTTTTGTTAATGTTTTTGAACTTGGAAGTTATTTATATTACCTTGAAACATGCCACACTGATTAAAAAATATTACCTTGAATCCAGAGTATACTCTTGTTCCAAGATCATTATTTATGTTTTTTATTAATGTAATAAACTGTATTATTAAATTTCTAGGTTAGGGTAACATAGTAACATAGTAATAAGTGCTTAAAATGTTATGAAGTTTTTTATAAAAATTACTGCAGAGCTTGTAGCACTTTTTTATTTATTTTCAGTTTAATCTACTCACTTATAAATTGAATGTATACAGGGTGTGTCTTAAATAAGTGCAAATATTTTCAGAACTGGTATATATCGATAAAAGAAACATATTTTCTTTTTACCATTTTTCAAAAAGTCCAAAATAACCGAATTATTTAAGTTTGAAAATTAAAAAAAAGTGATTTTTTTTTGGAAAAATTTTGAGAGCCACTGGCTTTTTTCTGTATTTGCATCCCTTTCAGGGTTGTTAAGTAGTTTATGAAGCAAAAAACTACGCCAAAAATTACGCGTAGTTTTTTGTATTATCTACGTTTTAAAATTTTAAACACTACCTTCAAAAACTACACAAAAACTACGTTAAAAACTACCTAAAAAATATAGTAAAACAGACAATTTAGACAAATATCAAGCCAAATTCTTATCATAGAAGTATGAAGTTATATTATATTTGTATAAGTTAAACAACATCAGAAAAAAAGACAATTTTTTTTCCAACAAAAGGGTATTTTCTACGAAATACAAAGTAACATTGAACACAAAATAAACTGTAAATTCTTATGGAGAAATTCTCCATAGACATTCTCCAGGAGAATATATGATTTTTTACATCTAAAGGCACAACTTCATAATTCCCCTCTTCACAGAAGGTATGGAGCAAGGTATGGAGACTGGAGACATCGACGTCTTCCAAGCATTTTTAACTACTAAGTATCAAAAATATCACATAAACAAATTCACAAAATATAGATTTTTTATTTCTTTAAATTGATCGACAAACAAAGTTTTTTAGGTTATGTTTTTTCACTGTTATTTAAAAAAACTACATTAGTTACATAAACTACACATTTACTACTCGACATTTAAAAACTACTTGTGACATGTAGTAAATGCAGTTTTATTAATTACTACGTGTAGTTTAACAACTCTGATCCCCTTTAGTGCCGTAACCATAGAGTTAAAGCTGTACCTAACTGTAGTAATATCAGAGATTAAGAAATTATACCGTGAAAAAATTTGCGGTGAACAGGCAGATCTAAAAGTATTCGAAAAATATACAGGAAAAGTTAAAGAGAAAATGCACGATTTTCAGCATCCTTTTTTGTGAAAAAACCTCATAGACGTGTTCGTAGGGTCGAAAATACACCACCCCTGAAATTATTTGCACTTATTTAAGACTCACCCTGTATAATTTATAAATTATTATTAAAAATTAAAAAAAAAATTTAATTATTTTTACGCAATTTAATTATTTTTATGCAGTTGTATTTTTATGCAAATATCCTTCAAAATATAAGTGTGTTTCAAAAGTATATATACAGAAAGAAACAAACTAAGAAACAGCAACTTTTTTATGAGATTTTTTGAAATAAATATTTAGGGGATTGTACAAATAATATACTAAATTTTGTAGTTTATTTTTAGTACTTGTGTATCATATCCGTGTGAATTATGAAAATTAAATGGGCACTTTTCATTTTACAGTATGATCAAAAAGACTTGCGACGAAGCCTTGTATTATATATGATTACAGATAAACAGTAAGTACCAAAAATTATACTAATATACAGGGTGTCCCAATATTCCGTGGACATAGAACTACTACGTATTTTTGGAATCACAATAAGTTCATTGGACAAAATTAACTTCTAAATACGAAAGTGCTTCGTTTGTCCACTAGAGAGCATCAAACTTTAAAAAAATAAACACATTTTTTCAGCTATTTTAAAAACCGTTATTTCTATTTAAATAAGATTTTGGGTGTCTATGTTTTGCTGAGTGCTTTAACATTTGGCTTTTATAAAAATCAAGAAAATGTGCGGGAAGGGAGAAAACTATCTCCACCCTTACTTAAAATTTGTTATAAATAATTTCCAAGTCCACCGACAACAGATTTTCTTTTCGTAAAGTGATACTTCTAGTATTTACTACATTTTTTATCTGTTGTAGAAAAACGAGGAAATTTTTTTTTTACTTTTTATGAGGAAAAATTTTTGGAGAATTTATTATTCCATAGCACACACACGAATTATACAGGGAGTTCTAATATTCCGCGGACATAGATGGACCGTGGAAATAGTTTAAACATTTCCATTACATTTTCTTGATTTTTGTGAAAGTCAAGAGATAATTTAGAGCACTTATGAAACATAGACACCCAAAATTTTTATTCTAGAAATAACTATTTTTAAAATATCCTAAAATTTTTTTTTTAAATCTCTAAAAAAATGTGTTTATTTTCGAAAAACTTAACTAATACCATATGTCCTCCTCATGATCACCTTTCTTATCTCTCTAATGATAATGTATATGTAAAGCTTGCAGTTTCTTTTTTTTTTTCCTTACGTAGTTTCTTGAAGGCTATAAGTCATCTATCATCTGGGATGGTGAAAATGTTCAGTCAGGCACTCAGATGCCAAATGTCAGTCAGCCATCTGTGCAAACCATCAGCCAGTTTCTCAAATCAAAAATGACGCTATGTTTTCCCTCCTTAATAAGGTTTACTCCAGCCTAAATAGCCATCATTCTACAGCAACAATTTTCTGCTGGTTTTGGTTTGATTGTGTAAATCCTTAAGATCCTAATTAATGGCTACAGCCCTATGGGTTCAGGGGATCATCTCTCAAATAGTTTAAGTCGTATCTACACCGACAGAAGTCAACTTGTGAAGGTGGACATTCCTTCTTCCTAGCAAGCTAATAGAATGTGGAGTACCTTAAGGCTCAGTACTAGGCCTATTTTGTTTCTTCTTTTTATTAACGACATTGCTAACGTAAACATCAGTGGCAAAATGTCTTTTTGCGGACGACACTAGCTTCGCTTGGAGCAACAAGAACGTCTTGCCACTTCATAGGGTTTTATCAAATGACTTAATCACCATTAAATCTTGTTGCGATTCGAACCTCCTGAGTCTCAACATTTCTAAAACTAAAGGTTTGTCCTATAAAAACTCGTTGCAGCCTTTTGTACTTGACAACACCACCATTGACGTCGTAAAATCCGTAAAATTCTTGGGGCTTGTTTTGGACAATTCTCTGAAATAGGACATACATATCGAAGCTTTGTCAAAAAAAATGAGCTCTGCCTGTTTTGAATTAAGGTCTGTTTCTAAGGAACTTGTCAGTGGCTAGAAATGTTTATTATACACTTTTTGAGTCGCACCTCAGTTATGCCCTTCTATTCTAGGGTACGTGTTGTGCGGCTCAGTTTGACCGCATTTTCAGGTTCCAGAAGAGAGCTGTTTGGGACTAAACAGCAGAACTCATTGCCAGGGCTTTTTAGAAATTAAAAATATTGACTCTTCCTTCCTTATTTATATTTGAATCCGTTTGCCTAATACGTAAACATGTATCCAGCTTCTCAAGAAAGGCCATCTCACACTTATCCTCTCAGGAACGCGGAGCAAGATCTTTATCTACCTACCCCACACGCTCAAGGATTAGTTAAAAAGTTTAATGTTATACAGCTCGAAAAATGCACAATCACCTGCTTTTTGAAATCAAATCCATAACATCATTTTCATTTCATAAGTATTGAACTCTTATTTACTAGACAAAGATTATATTTTGGTAATCGAATTTGATCTTGAAAACACTAG